ACCTAGAAGGGAGGCTCGCTTAGGAAGACCTCTGTGTGTCCATTCCTCCACGCTCAGCCAGAAGTGGTGTTGGCCTCTGATGTTAATAAGCCATTAAGCTACTTGACTAAATATGGTAAGAAGAAACCTGATATAGGATTTCTATTCACTTCTGTAGGCTTGGTTACAGAGGGAGTTCTAGTGGTTAAGATCTGTTGATGGTTCAGCATACACTCAGTAGCCAGGTAACAGATCATAAAGGACAAAAATACTGCATTAGGGGAGCTCTGGTGGCCTAGTGGCAAGGAGCTGCAACTACAATCCCAGAGGCGCACGGTTCAAATCCACCAGATGCTCTGCCAGGGAAGGAGGGGCAATCTCCTCCTGTACCAGTCAGATCTGATTTGACGGTACACACACACACACACACAAAAATAATAAAATAAAATAAAATAAAATAAAAATACTGCATTGAAGAGTCTATGTGGTACCTCACTCAGGCCCTGGCTTGATGACTATGGTGGCATGATTCGGGCTACACTCCTTCACATGAACAGGCCTGATAAGATGGGCTGTAAAATATAGGCTGTATTCACAGTCTGTTGGAGGGTTTTGGTTTGTTTGTTTGTTTCATAAGAATGCCTTGCAGTTTGGTGGATTTTTTTTTAATTGACATTGAACTCCAAGGTGGCTACTAAATGGACCTTAAACTCAACAGCTGTCTAGTCTGGCCTGCCCCATAGTAAGCGTACGGGACACGGTAGAACTGCCACGTTGGGCATCCAGTGCTGTCCATCGTCACAGCAACAGTCTGTTCCATCTTTCGCCTGTGGAGTCTGGTGGGTTCACTCGTACCCTTACAGTTACAGCATAGTGTTTTAGCCACTGCACCACCAAGACTTCTCAGAGACGGCGACTGAATTCATCATTAGTGTTGAGATAAAACTGATTCATAGCTGGCCCTCCAGCAGATTTGGAGACTGGAAATCACATGGGAGAAAATTACCCAACTTTTTCCAATGGTGGATTTGAATCTCTGGAGAGGTTAGCAATACAATTCTCTAGGGACTATACCACCAGAGTTCTGAGTAGTGGCTTCAAAGTGCAAATAAGGAGTTGTTGTTGTTGTTGTTGTTGTTGTTAGGTACCATCATGTGTGACTCACAGCAAACCTATAAACAACAGATCTGCATCCTGGCCTTGCCTGGCCTATGCCATCCTCTCGGTCTCTGATACATTTGAGCCAATTGCTACAGTCACTACATCAATTCACATCATTGAGTGTCTTCCTCTCTTTCACCACCCTCTAACTTTGAAAGCGTCATATCCCTTTTGAAGGAATGGTCTCTCCTGGCAACATGTCAAAAATATATGAGCCAAATCCTCGTCATCCTTGCCTCAAGGAGTACTCTGCCTGCTCTTTTTCCAAGACATATCTGTTCTTTTCCCCCACCCCCCAACCCATGGGATATTTAGTGCTCTTCTCCAACACCACAACTCAAAAGCATCAATTCCTCTGTCATCCTTATTCATTGTCCAGCTTTCAGATGCACAACGAGTGATTGAAAAGGCAGGTGCACCTTAGTCTTCAAGCTGACATCATTGCTCTTCAGTATTTTAGAGAAGTTCCTGACAGCCGATTTGCCCAAAGCAATGGCTCTCCTGATCTCTGACTGCTGGTACCAAGGGCATTGAGAGATGCAAGAGCAGCCCCCATTCTCTTCCTGAGCTGTGGGTGATGTAGACTGCCAGAAACTATGCATCTAAATATGATTCTGTTAGACTTGTACCTTCATCTAAACACTACACTCTAGAGTGGTCTGGCTTTTCTGGTGGCATGGAGACATAATCTTGGAGCAACCACTACTCCTTCCAGAGGAAACTCAGTTTCTGAATTCAGACTTGTTCAGTGTCAGAATGTTAAGGTAGATTATGAGCCAACTAGAGTGGTTTCTCATGTATCTCTCAACACAACTCAATAGGCACTTTCTTCTGGTTGACCCTCCCCTTCCTAGTCCCATCCCAAGCTTCTTCCAGAAAAGCAGACCCAGAGTCGTGTTTCCCCTGAGGTACAGAATGTACACATTTTAGAAAAAGCCTTCTGTTAAATGCTTCCTTTCTGAGATGAAGGTTGTCTCTAATTTTTTTCCCCCTCTTGAGTCCATTGCATAACATCCTTCTGTTTTAACCTTTTGCCAAATCTTGCACTTATCACTGTCAGAGGTTACTACAAGTGTTTGAACAGGTAACTTCTACCTTTGGACTTCTATTGCAACAGGCTCAAAGGTTTCACAGAAGTTTGTCAGCCCCTCTCTGGACAGTCTGTGTGCTGGTTCAGGTGATCCGTGTTCCTGGAGCTGAGGACAGAGTCTAGGCATCTGATGTGGGACTGACTTGGAAACAGCCAGCTGTGAGGGGCACAGTTCCTGAGCCCGGGACAGAAGAGCGTCTGTCTAAGGTAAAGAGCTCTTTACCTGCTCTCTCTATAGGCTCCTGAGGATGGACGGGGTTTGGAGGAAGATGGTGAGACTTGTGTCTACTCTTGGCCTCTAGCTTGTTTTATATCATGAAATAGAATTTGACTAAAAAGAGTAAATAAATCTCACCTCACTTGTGTGAGAAGCAGGGAAGGGGAAGAAAAAAAGGAAAGGAAGGAGGTGGAGATTTCTGAGTTATCCGAGGAGGAGTTACGATGGAAGAGAAAGGTGTTAAATCCACTGAATGAAACAATAAAACTGACAGGACTTAACAACCTTTATAGGTTAAAAGATGAAAGCAGAGTGAGAGGGCGTTGGAAGCTTTTTTACATTCCATCCAGAAACTTTGCTATCATATAGTTAGAAAGGCTGATATCCATTTGAAAGGGAGACTACAAAATTTAACCAATTGCCTTCTGGTCATTTCCAGCTCAAGGCAACCCTCCCTCAGGGTCTGGGACTGTGAATCTTGATGAGAGGAGGCTTTATCCTCGGCTTTATCCCACAGAGTAACTGATAGATTCATACTGCTGACCTTTTCGTTAGCAGCCCAGCACACAGTGCATTCGGCTACCAGGGCTCATTGGAAGAGAAAGGGGCAAGAGAATCCTAAGCAGATATTCTGTTAGGGGCCGGAGGCTGTGCTAGGGGAGCCACGTGCATTATCTCCTTGCTCTCCACCTCTCATAAGGAATGTGGTGTCATTCCCATTTCACAGATGAGTAATGTAGCTCCAGGACGTTAAACAGCATGATGGCCTGGGCTGTGTGGCTAGGAAATGGCGTGGCTGCATGTTAAGTCCTGACAAAAGCCAGCTCCACAATGTGAGATTCTTGGGCACTGCCAAAACCTCTGTAATTTCCTCAGACATCATGCTTGGTAGGGTGGAGGGACAGTGCAGGAGGGGAAGACCCTCTGTGAGGTGGATTGATTCAGTGACTGGGGTAATCGGGATGGGTGTGTCAGAGGCAATGCGATTGGCACAGGATAGAGCAGGGTTTAGGGCTGTTGTACATAGGGTCGCTATGAGTCGCAAACAACTCAATGGCACATAACAACAACAACAACTTACTGGTCTTACTCACAAGCACAAAAGATGGAATAAGATTGTAACTCTGTTAGAACTTACACTGGCCCCGGCCTTTTTAAGTGACCATTCCATCCTGGAAGAAGCCAGTGTACATAAAAGGGTCTAGCAGCTAGGGGGTGTCTGAGACTTGCCACTCGTCCTGTGTCCTCTACCCTCCTCCAGAGGAAGTTGCCTTTGAGGGGAGCTTAGCTCCTCAAACTAAGCAAAACCCACGTGCTTCCCAGGCCATGAGACGTCCCAGCAGACTGAAAGCCAGGAGGACTGCCCAGTATCTCCTCTTTTTTCATCTTTCTGAGGCCAGTGTCCAGCTCCTACGTTCTCTTAGATCATGACCCACCCCACGACAACTTTTTTAGTTGGCGGCAACAGGACTTCCTCTCTGTATGCGCCTCGGATAGAGCTGAATTCATGGTGAACTGATGCATGTGTGTGTGTCTTGAGGAGACCAAGGTCGGTCCAGATATTTGCTATGTTGTTGTTAGATACTATCGAGTCTAACCAAGCTATAGCTAATCCACCAGTGGGTTTACAGAGGTAGTAAATTGCACAGAAGGAAATTGCCAATCCTTATCCTCCAGAGCACCTGGTGGATTCAAACCACCTGCCTTCAGGTTAGCAAAACAGCTTCTTACCACCGGATTTCCTGGGTCCTAATGAGTTAATTCCAGGAGATGCAGCTTGGAGGGGTCAAAAGACTGGTTATTCTGCCTTGAGGTCTGAGAATGGAAGCTCTGGTTCCATTCAACAGCCCGCAGTCTTACGGGAATATCAGCCCAGGTTCCCATCAGAGCTCGGGGCTCCAGAAGACATTTCTATTTCAGTTCTGAGGTGTGGAAAGGATGAGCTGGCCGGTCAGAGGAGAAGAAGCAGTCTGTTTATTTAAGGACTTGCTGTCCCTGTCATACTTGACTTACTCGTTTGTTTTGTCGTCATGTCAGAACTGCACCGGGGACGGCAAAGGTAGCTGTGAGTGTTGGAGTGAGCTGGACAGAAGGCGAGGGGGAACAGGGTTTGTGACTCTGGACCTGGCTGGCCTCTGGACATTCCCTCCTTCACTGGATGGGCCTCGGGCTGAGGTGGATCAGGCTGGACTTTCCGGTCCTGGGCAGCCAGCAGGGAGGGGATGCCTCTGCCTCTCTGCTCGGAGGAGTCTGCTCCCCCTCAGACGTTTTAGTTCTGGCTTTTGTCGTGGTTTAGAGAGGGCAGAGGCGAGTGGGGCTCAGGCCAACTGGCTTTCCTTGCAGCCCTGAGAAGCTGGGGTTAGAGGCTTTGAACAGGAGCCAGGGCTCTCGGGCGGCTTTTCGCCTCCTGGTCAGATCGCTTCCACTTTCAGTTGTGAAAGAAAAACCAGGAAGTGGAGCCCGTGAGCACGTTAGAAGGGCCAGCTATGGCCTGACTCGCATGGTGCCCAGCAGACAGAGGGAGGGGGCTTGGGACAGGGCCTGTCTGCCCACATGGACTCGCTGAAGCCACCCTGTCCCTGGAAGAGCCAGGAGTGAGGGAAGAGGGCCAGAGCCACGACAGCCACGAGGAGCTCGGAGCCAGGAAGTCCCATTCACTGGAAGCACTGAGAAATGCTGCCGCCTCCCAGGGTAAGGGGACCACATAGAGGGTATTATTTAGTGAGGGGTCTTCTTGGAGCATGGGAGAGGTCCAAGGATGCCTCCAGACCCCCAACTCCAGAGAAACACCTCAGAATCTACAGCTTGCTGTGTTTTGTCAGCACTCAGGTCCTCCCCTCGGGTCACCAAGGAGGGGCAGGGGGCAGCGAGAGTGTGAGATGTGAGTTGGACTCCACCTCCTGCCTCTACTTGGGGAGGTGGACCCCGACATATGTTTTTTTGGGGTGGGGGGGTCAGGCATTGGACCTGGCTTCCCTGCAGTACATTGGGGATTATCTCAGCTTTCACGTTGAACTGCCATGCTTTCTCTTGGTAAGAGCTGAAGGATGGTGTGGTATCTGAATGAAAAGGGTCTGTTTTCAGGGGTAGGGCCCCATTTTCAGTCTGGAGTGAACCTCAGGGACATTCAGGAGGTGAACATGAGGAAGGGACTCAGAATTCACACTTTATAACTTTTTTTTTTTACTTTATAACTTTTGTGAGTATCAAGCTTCTTTTGTCGGCTTGAAGGTAGGAATGAATTTACAGTGGTTGCTCGTAGGTCAATGGTGTTTTGTAATAATAGTTCTTGTTGTGTGCTGTCGAGTCAGAACCAACCCATGGTTGACCCTCCAGTGCGTTTTCAGAGACAGTAAATCACACGGGAGGAGTTTGCCCATCTTTCTCTCACAGAGCAGCTGGTAGATTAGAACTGCATACTGTTGTGTTGACAGTTCCTCACCGTTAAGCCACCAGAGCTCCCTATAGTAAAAGAGGTACAGGATTTTAAAAAGAAACAAATATAAGAGTAGTTCAATACAAATAGAGTGGTTTTGCTCTCTCGCTCTCAATCCATCCTCAGAAGAGTCTTTGTGAAAAAAGCACTGAATTGCTAACCAAAAGGTCAAGTGTTCAAACCCACTGGTCGCTCCACAGGAGAAAAGTGCAACCACTTTAGAAGCCCTACAGCGCAGTTTTACTAATTCCTCTAGGGTCACGATCGGTTTGAAATAGTTTAGCTTCTCTGTCCTGATGCAGAGTTACTCTAAAGTGGTCCCTCCAACAGACGGTGTGTGAGATGACAGGACATAGATCTTGCACAAGACATACAATAAAATCTGTGGTTATTGCTTGGCACAATAGGAGGAATAAAAACTTAAATGAGAGTCATAAATTCAAATACATGTTAAGGAGCCTGGTGGTGTATTGAGTTCTGTGTTAGACTGCTGACTGAAAGGTCAGCAGTTCCAGTCTCCCAGCCGCTCCCTCAGAGGGAGCAACATTAAGCCTCAGAACCCCAGTAGAGGGTCATTGTGAGTCAGAATCAATGTAATAGCCATGTATTTGGTTTAGTTTTGGTTGGTTCATTGGGGTTTTTCAAGTCGATGATATCTAATAAGATGCAGGTGGCAGGAGCTCTGGCAAAGCGCAGAGCAGTCAAACCCCAACTAAATGTATTCCATCTAGTTTTTAAGGAAACATTGTCCAAATCAAATAAGAGAGCGTTCTGGTGGCCTGAAGTCAAAGAGTTGTGCTGCCAATGCAAAGGAAGGCTGTTCAGGTCGGACAGCTGCCCCGCTGGAGAAAGATGGACAGTCTCCTCCCATTTGATTTATTTTATTGTTGTTGTTGTGTGCTGTCGAACTACCTGTGACTCATAGTGATCCTATGTACAACAGCCCTGACCTGAGCCAGTCTCGCCGTCTCTGACACACCTACTCCCATGGCCCCAGTCACTGTATCAATCCGTCTCATCCGAGTTCTTCCTCTCCTGCGCTATCCCTCCACCCTTCCAACAACATTGTCTTTCTTCAAGGACCAGTCCCTCCTGGCCATGGGCCCAAAGTATGTGAGATGGAGCTTCAAAATCCTACTCTCCAAGGAGAAACTTGATTTCACCCTCTCCAAGACAGACTTATTTATTTTCTTGGCAGTCCATGGTAGTATGTTCAAGACTCTTGTCCAGCACCACAACTCAAAGACATCAATTCTTTTGTCACCATTAGTCCTTGTCCTGCTTTCTCATGTATAGACAGCCCCTGAAACCCCACCAGAGGGTCAACTATGGGTCGGTTCTGACTCAACACCAATGAGTTGTGGTTTGTTGAGATCAAACAAGGAGGAGGCCTGGCAGTGCAGTGACCCACTTGTTGGACTGCTAACCCGAGCAGTAGGCAGTTCAAATATACCAGCTACTCCGTGGGAGAAAGAGAGGCAGTTTCCCACATAAAGATCTAATAACCTCAGAATCCCAGCGGAGGGTTGCCATGAGAGGACTTGACAGCACTGAGGTGTTCTATTTGTCAAGATCAGTGTTTCCGCTAAAATTTGGCTGGGTCTTGGCTTAAAATTGTCCACTCTCAGCCTATAAATACACACATACACCACGATATCCATGTCCTCGTGTGTATCTAGGTACCAATCACATAGAGTGGATCACAGGCACCAGAGGGAGGTGAGAGGCTGCAGGAGGAAGGGAAGTTTCAGGTGGAGAGAGGGAAAAAGTTAGCCCTGATACCCCGGCCGATAGGGTGTACCCGTGCATTTAATCAACATAAGTGTAAAAGCAAAGGTTACACCATCTTGTGGTTAAGAAAGTAGGCTGAGAACCATTAAGCAACTTTCCCAGGGTCACAAAGAAAATCATCAAACTGGGATTGTAGCTACAGTCGGTCAGACACTAAAGTCTTGCTATGCCCGCTCACCTGTAGAGTTGGATGTCCCAGAAAATGAAGTTTGTGCCAAGATTTTTCACGCACGATGACCTGGGCAGGCACTGAATTCACACATTTATGACATTTTTTGAGGCTGATATTTTCTTAAAACCTGAAATGTTACAAGTTAGTATTTACTAGACTTCAGGGTTCTAGGGGGCTTTTCCCTCTGGTCTTCACTGAAGTGTTATCAAGGAGATATTGACTTTGGGTTGCGCAGTGGTTAAAGACCTTTGTTGCTAGCCAAAGGGTGGACTTTGTGGGGGAGAGGAGGCAATCTGCTTCCATAATTCACTGCCTTTGGAAACCCTATGTGGCACACATACTCTGTCCTGTAAGATAGGTACGACGTAGAGCTAATTCAACGGCAATGGCTATTCTGTCTGTTCTTTTCAGAAGGAGCTTCCTCGCTTTGAGTCTGAGAAAACAAAGCTAAGAAATGAAGGCCTTAGACACACTGTAAGAAGTCTGTAGCAGGAATTTGAACCCAAAGGCAAACAACGCCTGTTTCTGACGAGTATCCTAAGTGCTCAGAGAGTGGGGATTTGGGAAAAATTGAAATTAAATTAGAAGAAATCTTGACAACCCTCCCATCCATCTCTAGGCAGGGATATTCCAAAACCAGTATTGGCTAAGTTTTTTAGACACTGAGATTGATGTTTCCATTCCTGACCGTGGTGTTGGCGAGCAGAGGGACTGGCTCTCAGGGGAAGGGTACCCAGAGGTGACTGCGGGGCCCGCCAGGTGGGACAGCTTGTGATTGGTAGCTGGGACCAGGTCATGGTCTCAAGCCCTTTCAGAGTTGCTCGCAATAGACCCTTGTGTCTTACTGGCCATTCTGTCCTGAGACTGGTGCATTTCTTCCTGGCTTGGGCTGGAGGGAGGAGGCTGAGTTGGAGCTGAGAAGAACTGTGCTTTCTCCAATGAGAAATCTCAGCAAGGATCTAAGCCTATGCAATTGTCCAACTAGCACACAGGTTGAGGGGCCGTGTTTAAGACCATGATCACCTCTTCTCTTCCGAGATGCCTCATTATAGAACCAACACACAAAATAATTGCTGTCCCATCAATTCCATTGCACTGTGGAGCACACGTGCCTGAGTAGAACAGCTCCACAGGGTTTGCAGTGGCTGGGTTTTCAGAAGTAGGTTACCAGGCCTTTCTTCAGAGGCACCTCTGAACAGATTGGTAGCCTTGTGATAGCCAGGGGTGTCACAGCACGCCACAGGGATTCTCTGTTATTAACAAGGAGACAACGGAGACCAATGGAAGTGGGGAAAGGAAGCTGACCTTCTCTGAGAACTTCATGTGTACTTGACAGTGTACTAAAAGTTCTACTCACAATAACCTTTTCAAGACACAAAATTATCCTGCCCCTTCTTGCATGCCTTTGAGGGAAACTAACCTTCAACAACATTAAGTTACCTGTCCCCAGGGCCACACGCTTGGGAAGGCATAAAGTTGGGGAGAACTAGAGTTGGTGGAAACTCAATAGCCTTGACATTTGTACCCAGGAAATGAGACTAATGGCAATAAAGCATTTGTGTGTACTTTGCATCTGCTGATGACTCCTGACCATTGCTCAGAGCAGGTAGTGGGAGGCTGATTCTGCCACATGCTGGGGCGGGAAGGCTTTGAACACAGCCTCTTGTACCTCCCTATTCTTATCCTGGCATTGGGGACAAGAGATCTAGCACTTTGTTCAGCCTCTTATCTAATCCAGAGACTTCTGATACTAGCTCTCCTTCCAGAAGCCCTGTCAGAATTCACTTGGTCAGCAGAGGTTCGGGGCACCCTTTGGGGAGAGTTTACTGAGACAAAGTTGTCCAGAGGTGGGGGTGCAGCAAGGCTGCTGGACTCTGGTTTGGTGCACAGCAGCAGTTCAAGGTCAGTTGTGTCATGCTGAAGTCCAGTGCGGTTTGTCGTTGCTTGTCTCCACTCTATAGATGACTTAACAACCCCCTTCTGCTATCTTTACAAGCTGAATTGAGGCTTTTTGTGTTTGACTTAGGAAAGTTTCCTAGTAAAGACTGCTCCACTGGCCTCCCAGGGTTCTGTCACATTCGTAAATCAAAATGATTCTAACAAGAGCAGTGTCTACACAGGGTCCTGGTCCCGTCTCTTTCATTTTTTTTTCTTCTTTTTTTTTTCCTCCCTTCCATCTGAAGATGGGCCCTGTGTCTCCCTCAGGAATGCTGTTCTTGTTAAGCGGTATCAAATTGACTCCAAATGACCCTATGAACAAACAATATGATCCTTGACCTATTCCTGTGTCAT